ACGAACACTACCAGCTCTGTGGCGTCGTCCTGAAACACACACACTGTTAGAGCGCACACAGCAACAGTGCTGCACATTTCTGTAGCCTTAAAGGACTCACTGTGCTCTGTGGGCGGGGCTCCACTGTTATCACCATGTGGTCTTTAAAGGTCAGAATCACTGTGTCCTCCAAGGCAGGACTCCTCCCAGCTGTGACACAACCACATGTTTACATGCACAAACGTACATCAGTGAAAAATGGACCTGAATGCATCCATGACATACACGGTGAAGACAGCTGGCAGTAAGGAGGCAGCCGGCTCGCGATGAAGTCTCTCTTCATGTGAGTGAAGCTCAGTTCCTGCGCCCCAGTTTCCATCTCATCAGCCAGAGACCTGAGGCTGGCGGCCAGCCGCTCGGCGTGCAGGCCTGCACTGCTGCTCTGCACACACACATGTGACTGTGAATGCATCTCATTCATATTTTACATAATTCAGAAAGCATTAGAGGTTGAGCTGTAATGATGGAGGCACACATACAGACCTCGCTGTCTTCTGAAGCTATTTTATTTTATATTAACTTAGAATATAAACCTAAAAACTATGAAAGCATTAGCATGAGGAGCCGTTTACCTCAACATTGCTCCAGTTTCAGGGAAAATATCACAGAACAGTTTTAAGTAATTATGAGTCAATTAAAAACAGCACGTTGCAGATGTTACAGATGTTACAGATGTTACAGATGTTACAGATGTTACACACACCACCTGTCACATGTTTGCACAGAGATTCTCATTTAATGCTTTCTCTTTATTTCTTCTTCAAACTGATACAAACTGAAGACATTAATATAATCAGCATGACGGGTGGGATTATGTAGCAAAGAGAAAACGTATAAATAACTCTACATATATTTCAGATTGCTGACAGCAGCCGCCCTCTGCTTTGTTGACGAAACCCTCGGCCTTCTCTCAGTGAGCTTCATGATGTCGTCACCTGACATGGTTTCAGCTCACAGTGAGCCTGTCAGGGTTCGTCTGTGCAGTTTGTTGCCTTCTTAATGACGCTGGGACCATCTGCTGTGTCAGGTTGGTGCTCAGCTGACAGCCTGTTTGACACTGTTAGAAACAGTCGCTCATTACTTTAAGAACTGAAGCTCAGTCAGTCCATAAAACTGCTAAAGAGGTGAATGTATGGTCTCTA